GTCCCCCCCCCCCCACCCCAGGGTTTGGAGCTCCCTCAGTAGTGCCCCCCCCCCCCCCAGGCAGTCTGCAGGCAGCCCCCCCACCCCCAAACACCCCTCCGAGGGTGCAGAGCCTGGGCCTCCACGCTCGGTGATTCAGCTACTTGCAGGGAGCTTTAATTTTATCGCTTAAAACTCGAGTTCTTGCTGCCTCGTGGTGGTGTCAGCGCGATAAAATACCTCTGGATTAAGATGCTTTTTAGTGTAGTTTGTGGGCGCTTTGTCTGCGGTTCCGGGCATCCAGCTGCCGGCTACGCTGCCGGAGGGGGGGAGCTCAGGACCTGGATGTACGGGCAGATAAGCAATGTCAGAATTAATAATTCATCTTCAAAACTTCGGCGTGCCAAGGCACACCCCTCCTTTGCTGCCTCTTGTTGCTTGGGTTTTAGAAAGGTTGCTGGCTTTTTTTTTTTTTTTTTTTAAAAAAAATAAGGCATTTTGATGGCATTTCTGTATCGCAGTAGCATCCTCTGTAACAGGTTGAACAGCTCGGTGATTAGGGGAGGTTGAAGACAGCGTCAGTCCAGCAAAACTTCATCTGGCAGCTACAAGGTTAATGTGCACCGTGCTTTTCTGTCGCAAACGCGGAGCATGCTAAGGGCTCTTACACATAACGCCTGTGATGCAACTTAGACCCCGAATGCCCGCTGCTTTCCCGAGGAGCTGAAGCCCACGGAGAAAACTCGAGATGAAGCATATTTTGCTTTGAGCTGTCATCTCATTTGGCCCAGTTCTGAACTGAAGATGCTCATCCTCCATTTTATGGTAGATGACAAATCAGCTGCGGATGCCAAGATCTTGACAAGTTACGAACAACAGCCCTCAAGCCAAAAGTGTTAAAATTTGGAAAAAAAAAAAAAAAAAAAAGCAACACTGCCTTTTTTTTTTTTTTTTTTTTTTTGCAGTGCTGCTCATCCAAAAAGCCACCCTCTGAGCTGCACCCCACGGGCGAGAGCCCCAGCGTTTTGCACGTCTTGGTGAGCAGAGGGGATGCAACCGGCTCCTGGGCAGGAGCTGCCCCTGATTCCCCACATCCCCCCCCCCCCCCAGATTTATGCAGGGCTGTACGTTCAGCACCGGCCGGGGAAGCAGCAATATCATCCCAGGAAGGGGCTGCCCGGGCACTCGGCACGGCCCAGGCAGAGAACTGTGTTTGAGCTGGCTGGGAGCACTCTGTGGCTGGAGATGCTGGTCCTGCGGCCGTTCCCAAAGGCGACGAGTGCCGGGTTTCCAGAAGGACCCTTGCTGCTCGCCGAAGCTTTCCTGGGTTTATCAAAGCGCCTTCTATGTTGAGGAGAATAAGGCTGGTTTGTTCAGCAGCGTCCTGCTCACACAAACCACCAGCGAGCGAGAGAGATCCTTCTGTTAATGAGCTGAGCACAAAAGGAAAAAAAAAAAAAAAAAAAAAGTCATTGAAGATTTTCCTTTGGTGATAAAGAGTCATTAAAAACAACACATGATTCCTGGGCCAGCGGGGATCTTTTCCAGCCAAAACAGAGCTGGGATCTGTGCTGCTGTTCCCACCACCCCATCCCCTGCCTCTTTCTCTGAAGATTGTGGGCATCGCCGTTCCCAGGTGGTCCCGGCACAGGAGCCACGTGCGGAGCAGCTGAAAGATGGTGGAGGAGGATCATGTATAGTTTCATCCACACCTTTTTTCCCCACCCCTTCCTCCTGTCAGCATTAGAGTTACCCAGGCGTTGCATTTGCATGGGTTTAGTTTGTATCCGAAGCAGAGCTGAAGCCAAAAGGTGGTTGTGTCCGGCGGCTGGCAGCAGCTTCTGTGGGATGGGAAGGATACGATGTAGTGGCCGTTAGCTCCTTGGCCAGTGCTGGGGGCACTGAGGGCTCCCCATTTCTAAGAAATCAAACAACGGACCCCAAACCCCACATCAACTAAAACCCAGGGAAAACAACCGCCTGAAAACCCACTTGCCAATTTACGGTGCTTGCTAGTTGCAAACCTGCAAAGAAGCATCATTTAGACAAAAGCATTCGGGAGCCTGTTTGTTTTAAACCAGACACTCAGCAGGACGAGTTTTTTATACTAACCCCAAGGTAGCGAGGCAGTTGCATTTATGGCATCCTCCCTCAGCAGGCGTTTTGGCGAAGGTTGGTGTTGCAGAGCCCAGCTTTCAGAAGCGTTTGTGATTTAGAGGCAATTTAGTCAAGTGCTGTTCCTAGAGCTGAAACATTTTGCAGTAGAAGCGAGGGGGGAAAAAAAAAAAAAAAAAAAAAAAAGACTGTGGCATTTACTAATAAAACTCTTTAGGAATATTTTTAGCTGTGATTTAACGTTATGTTGCACTTTGCTGTGAAGTGTTTGTTCGCTGAAGCCTCCTGGCAGTTGTTAGCCGTGGTAGAGCTGCCTTTGGCTGAGTTAGCAGAGGAGGAGAGCTGCAGATGGACCGGAGGAGAGGTGCAGGCAGCGGTCCCAGCCGGGGCGGGCGATGTGCCTTCCCGGTGGGGCACGGGTCACCGATTCAGCCCCAACCCAGGGAGCGATGCAGCTCTGCCCCAGGTCCAGCCAGGCGCCCAGCTCCCTCCCCGCTTTTGGCTGGAGGGCCTGACCCTTTCCCTGCAGTTGCAGCTCAGTTCCAATCCTTCCTTGGCCGACGGCGAATATTCCTCTGGGCCACCCGGGATCAGGGCTGAGATCTCTCAACTCATTTCACGTGAGCTGCGGGAGCCGTGAGTCCACAGCCCCGGCTTCAAGCCTCCCCCAAGCCGATAGCCTGCTGATGGGGGACCAGAAACTGCATCCCACATCCCGGGGCTTTTGAGTCCCCAAGGCAATTTGCCACTCGATGCTTTGCCATTGGATGTGCTAGCCCTTCTCCCTGGGGACGAGGCTGGAATGCTGTCCATGGCCCCAGACCATTTTTAAAGCCAGAGTTTTTCTGGGTGCAGAGGTCTCAAGGAGAGGGCAGGCAGTGGCATTGCTTCTCCCATGCCCATCTGCCTCAGTTCAGTCATGAGAATTTACTCACTGGAGATCTGCCCTCTGGTTTATTTTAAGCCAGGGGAATGCTCGTGATCCAGCCCGTTTTAATATATTTAATTAACCTTTGGACAATAGCTCTGAAGTGATTATCAGCTTCACACAAAGCAATGACATTTGTCATGCTGGTAGTGTTCGCAGTCATTTGGGCTACCAACAAATTAAAAAGTGGTTGCAGATGCATTTCATAAATTAGAGCAATGAGTCCTTGCAGTACAAATTACACTCCATTTTGTGTGAAATACATCAGCAGATCTGATCCAGCTCTAGCAAGCAGGTTTCTCTGCATTGCAAAGAGCCACCTGCACAGTTTTTGCTGGTTCATTTTTTTTTTTCTGAGAGATGAAAGCTTCAGCCCCTATAGGCTATAGGCTCTGCTCTCCCTCCAAAGCTGTTCGTGGCCAAACATCTGCTATTGAGAAGCAGGAGTTTAGGGCCACCTGAGCCAGAAGTTGCCCCTCAACCATTAGGTAGCTGCTGGTGGCCCTGTCTGTCCTCTGCAGGTTTGTCCTGTTGCTCCTTGAACCCTCCCCTGCACCGATTTCCAGCATGCCCTGTAGCAGAGCTCCACAAATCAACAGCTCAAAAGCCTGCTGCTTTTGCAGCCACCACTTATTTCTGTCTGCTCTGAAACATCTCACACCCTCGGGGATCCTTCTCAGCCCTCTCCTTTACCAGATCCGTCCTGCCAGACTCCACAGGACAAACTCCTTCAGGCACCTATGAGCCCTGCTGAGTGTCACCTCCACCTCTTGTCCTTTTCCTGACTCCAGAGTCAGCTTTTTTTTTTTGTTTCTCCTTTCAGTATTTCAGGACTTCTTGTGCCTCCTGCCCCCGCAGCCCTTCTCCACCTTGCCATTCCTAGGGTGCCTGTGCCAAAACACAGGTTGCTGTCCTGAACTGGCACTGCAAGATCTGGCACTTCTTGTTCTTTTGATACTCATTCGTAAACTTTTTTTGTCTTATGGTCCAGGATATTAGACTTTCAATATACCGCTTTGGTTTTTTTGTACTACCCTGGCTCCAACTGACCAAAGCTTTTGCTCTCTTGCAAAAGCCTCTGGTTCCTGGCAGGGTCTGGTCCTCAGGGCTCAGCAGCACCCTGGGGTGCCCAGTTTGGGTACAAACTTTGATTGCAAGGGCCGAGCAAACGGTCTGCCCCCAAATCTTGGCTCAGAACCGAGTTTAGCTGCAGGGGCTGACCCAAACTCCCAGTCTGTAGGCATTTGGCGTGGCTGTGCTCACTGCACACTTACCCAGGCTGTGAGGGTGAATTAGATTTCCCTTGGCCACCTTGTGCAAGCTCAGCTGCTGCTTCACACACCGTCCAGCCGGTCGGGTGCCGTGCTTCGACACCGTCACGGAAGGCATTGAGGATAGCTCGACGGCTGATTTGTTTTTGCGAGCTGACAGCGTGCAACATGGACATCCTTCCCAGCCCAGCTCTGCTCATCTCTGCCACGGCTCCATTCCCAATCCAGGTTTCTCCTACAGGGAACACCCACCCACAGAAAGCCAACCCCCAAATTGCCTTCTGGCCCAGTGAAGGAAGGTGGCAAGAGCAGGACTTCTCTCTCTCATGCAATAAGCAGGGCCCTGGGGCTGTGACTGCAGGTATCAGGCACTTATCAAACCAAACATCTGTCAACAGGGATTAGCCAGCACCTGAGAAACATGTTGTCACCCAGCCTGTCCCTCCTTGCATGGCCATCCAGAGCATGCGTGATCCTTTAGGCCACTTTGGACACCACTGCAGGAATCCAGCTTGGCTTTGCAAGTCACAGCTCAATCCCCTGCCCAGGGGGAGAGGGCGAGTGGGTCTGGGGGTGCAGCAAAGCTGATGAGACAGTTAGACACATGAAAAGCTATTGCAAAGAATATAAGGAGCAATGGCTGGACATGCAACTCCATTTTTTGGACCGTTTTACGAAATGAGAGATGCTTTTCTGCCCCCAACAGACCCCAAGGACTTACGCTGCCAGATGTGATGGCTGCTGAGATGAAGGATGACATCTGGAAGGAGCCAGCTGCAGGGATCACCTGGGAGCCAGCATCTGCAAATCACACAACCAGCCTGGTCTGCAGGGACCGGGGGGCTGGCAGTCATGGTCTGGGGCAGCACTTCTTCATGGTCTGGGAAAGCAGGGGCTGCTCCTCAGTAGCCCCAGCAGCTCTGGGGTTTGGGAAGCTGTGGTCAATTTGCTGGTTGTTCCTTGGGAAAAATCAGCTGCTTAAGGCAGGAGATAAAGCTCATTTCTGGTCTCATCACCTCCCCTGCCTGGGCATCTCATCCGATCTTTGCTGGGGCAGTGGTGAGCTGGACACTGTTCCCTTCCAAGCTCCTTTGCTTGCTTTAGGAAGCAGGTGGGAAGCTGCATCTCTGCAAGCTGGTGCCCAGCTCGGGTAGGATACAGCAGGCATCGGGGTGGATTTGAGGGGAACACCGAGGCTCATTGCAGGTTAGAGAGGGCAGCGAGCCACCCCGCAGTCCCATGCACTGCCTGCTGTGAGCTGTTCCCCACTAGACAGAGCGATAGAGGGAAACTGGGCTGAGCAGCATCACCCGGAGCACAGTCAGCTCGGGGGGGGGGGGTCAGTGCCACTGCCCCAGCAAGATGCTGAGGAGGTTTGGCCTGTGTGCTATGGAAACGGCATTTTGCTGGCTGGGGAAGCAGCTACACACCGTGGAGAAGCAGATGCTTTGCAGTTACCATCAGCAGCAGCAGCAAGTCTCTCCTTGGCCTGACAGCTGTGGCTGTCACTGCTGATTTTCACCCACAACGCTTCCCTGTACGGCAAGATTGAGAGTTACTGGCTCTTTCAACAGATGAGGAGAGAAGACGAGCGATGGGAGAGCCCCCTCAGTGCGCCTGCACCATGACAGTTGCTCCCGGGAAGCCCCTGGCCAGTCCCACTTTTCCTGCCTTCCACCTCCAGGAAATTCCTGCCGAGTTTATGGCTCCTGTTTTCCTCCTCCTGGAGTCTGATTATCCCACCAAGGGCTCCTCGCTTCCACTCAGGAGACAACAAAATGTTGTGGATTTTAGTCCACATAAGGAATACCAGAATGCAGCCGATATTCCCAGACCCACCAGAAGAGATGCTCACCCTACAACAACACCCTGTAGATGCGCAGAGAAACGGGAAGGCTCAGGTCATCGCAAGAAGGTTTCGCGGGTTGAGGTTCCACCTTTGAGTCCTGCACCCACAGAGCAGCTGTTTCATGAGAGATAAGAGAAGCAAATTGTGATGAAGATGGTTGGAAAAGCCCATATAACCACCTCAACTTGAGTGGGGCTTGGATGTTGAAGCATCGTGGGGGCTTATGCCATTGTCCCAAAGCAGCTGAAGGGTGGGATCGGAGGGGCAGTGCTGGGCTGCGCTGCCATCGGCTGCATCCCCGAAAACACTCTCAGCTAGAGAGGAAAGAAAGACCCAAACCTTCAAGGGCTGGCATGTTTCTTGAGCCACAGTCGGCGAGGAGGGCAGGAGCAAGGTGGGGAGGGGAAGAGCTCATCCCCACCTACGAGCAGCCATCGCCAGTGAGATTAGACATGCGTATCCCGAGGGAAGACTTTAGGAACCCGTGCCAGAGCAGGCACTTCACAGCAGAGCCCAGCCCAGGGTCAGCCACCTTCCGCCAAACCTGGAGCAGCCCAGCAAGGTGGAAAACCCTTCCCAAGGTCCCACCCAAGCATGGACACCGAGGCCGGACATCCCACCTGCTCTGGATCAAGTTTCCTCTCTGGCAGCGCTGACGGAACCTCCCAGCTGCTCCCGTCCCAGCCGTGCTCTTGCAGCACAAGGCCAAGGTCACCGCAGCACACGTTAAGCCAGGAGCAGAACTGGAGACTAGCCTCATCCTTTAGAGCAGGGCTAGCACCCCCAGCTGAGCTTAAATAACCTCCTGGGCCCATGGGTGGGGTGTGAGTCGCAGGTGAGGCTGCTCAGGGCCATCAAGGGCTAGTAGTAGTAGTAGTAGAAGGTGGTGATTTGGCCCTGCAGCTGCCCAGATGTGGCTTTACTGGTTGCATGGCCATACCCAGCTGGGCTGTACTGGGAGTGCCCCAGTGGTTGCTGCCGAGCCCGGTGCACGCCGTGCGTTGGCGATGGCCCGCGGTGCTGAGCACTGAGGCAGCGTCTGGTATGGCCACATGGATGGAAGAAATCATGAATTGCTCTTGGCCAAACTCTGTCCATGTTCGAGCTTCTCCCCCTTGCACCAGGAAGTCACCGCTGGGCTCAGCAGATCCCCTTCCTGAAGGTCTGAGGACCTGCCACCGAAATCACCCCCTCAAAGGCTTGGAAATTACCCGAAATTTCAGCAAGAGCAGGAGCAGCACTGAACGTAACTGAGCATCCCTTCACTGGGACTCAGGCCAAGCCGCCAGTGCTCAGGATTTGGGCACAGCCTCTTGGTGGGTGTCAGCAAGACATGCCCGAGAGGACAGAAATTAAGTTGGTGTCACGTGTAGCCCGTCCCCACCCAAAGCGCTTTGGTCCCCTGAGTCAGGGCAGGCCTTGAGATCGTGGGTTTTAGGTCAGAAGTTGGGTTTTCTACCCAGAAGTCGGAGGTTTGGTGCCGCCGGCGCACGAGGGATGCTGTTACAGCAGGTTGAGGTGACGCTTGTCGCGCGAGGGGTTTCTAATCCCTGTGTTCCAGTTAGCAGCCGTGAATTGGGGAGATTAAAAAGCAGCTTCTCCTGTGGCTCAGCCAAAATTTCCTGTCCCGGTTATCCTAGCCTAAAAACGTGTGCCTAAGTCTGCCTTGCTTTCTTCTGCTGCAGGGTCTGAGTCTTGTTAGGGCTTTTTGGAGGGAGATTAAAGGGATCTCTTTTCTCCAGGAATACTCTCCCATGGCATGGTCTCAAATGCTGTTGTCAGACCATGTACCCACCTTCCACCCCTCTTCAAGTCTGTCCCTGCTGTGAAGAGTTTCAGACCTCAAATCCTTTTTTCTTCATTCCCCTCTGGGGTCCCCATGGGGGATGGAGGCGCGGGTGGCCCCAATTCCTCCCCGGCCCCCCTGCGTGAGGACAAAAAATCCCCGGGTGTCAGTGGCCGTGTCCCAGGCGCATGCTGAGAATGGCTCTTTGTTCCCTTTTTCTAATTGCTGGGCCCAAACAACTCATTAACCGACCTGCCCCACACCCTCCCGTCCCTGCAGCCACTGCTTTAGGGTAACCCCCCCCCATGGGGACGTGCTGGGGCTCAGCCTCTGAGTGTGGATTTTGGGGTGACACTTAAAAACTTCTCAAAGCCAGTTTGGAGTGAAGCTACCAGCGTTGCTCATCCCTTTACGTGGCCCTGGGGGGTGCTCGGGGGGAGCCCAGAAAGGGGAGTTGTGTGTGGCCAGAGCAGACGTCCACCAGCAGGTATCCAGAGCCTCCCCTGCAAACTCCATCACATTTTTCTCAGCCGAAAAATAACGAGCTGGCAGAAGCCTCTTGGTTTTGTTGGGAGCCAGGGACAGTACCAGCCCCGCCGTCGGCGTGCAGTGACTTTGGGAAGTGCCGCAGGACACGCAGTTTGCTCTGAGCCCAAAGCATCACGTAACCCTAAGGAGGGTTCAGGGTTGGGGTCCTTCCCCCGGCGCCCTGATTGCCCCGGGGCAGAGCAGAGCCCAGCCATTCACACACCACCCTCCCCCCCCCCCCCAGTATATATGGATCCGGGAGCACAATCAGCCCTTTGGGAAGCTTGATATGAGTGATTTAGAAACAAGTTTTGGACTCTCATAGAGGGAGCTTGCATTTGCATTTGAAAACTGCGGAGGAGCTGGTGGTGCTGGCGGGGGGACGGGAGCACTGGCCGGGTGCTATCAATGGGAAACTGTTCTGTCTAACGCTCCCGGGGCCAAAAAATGTGAACTCTGCAGATTTCTGGCTCCGTTCATGGTCAGAATTGCTGGCTCCCTTGTCGGTGCCCGGCTGCTCCGCTCCCAGCTATTAATGGCTCTGCTCGGAAGCTGGTTTTCCTTTGCTGCCAAAGCAAGAGCGGGGTTTTGTGAAAGGTGGGGTGTGAAACAGGGGGATTCAGCTCACTGCATCTGGGAGCTGGGAAGGCTGTTTGTGCTTGCTGGTCCTTATAAGCCAGCGATCCAATTCATGGTGATTTCAATGCTAAAACCATCAGCTAAAGCCTTTGTATTGGGAGTGGAGCTGAGGCCAGATGCACTCATGTCATGTAAGACCCCCTTGTGCAAGCCTGTGGGGTCACCACCTGCTTTGTGCCTGTCCATGTCCCTGTCCCAGGCTGCAGCACCCTAGGAGAGCTTAATAAATTCTCCTTTTTTTTTTTTTTTTTTTTTTTTTTTTTTTTTTTCCCCTTTCCCAGCCTGTTTCACACCACTTGCCCTTTATGTCAACGGGGTTAACCTACCCCCAGCACCCCCCACCCCACTGTACCCATCCCTCATCCTTCCCACGGGTGCTCTCGCTGGAGATGAGGCTGTTGGGTGCGGGCACCTCCCGACATCTCCTGTAGAAAATGAACCATCCCCGTTGCAGGCAGGGACGGCGCCGGAGCTGGGGGGACACGCAGGGCTGCTGCGGAGAGCAGGGGGGAGCTGGCCCTGTGTGGTGCCTGCACAAATAAAACCCCGGAGAGCTCTGCAGTGAGCTGGAAATAATGGCATTACAAGCGCTTGCTCGCTTCTGGCCGCTGTTTGGGTTGGATGAGGCTTTTCGGGGCCGGCTGAAGGGCTGCAGCACGTGGGGGGTTGGTTTGTTCCTGGGTCAAGCTCTGGGAAGGTGAGGGGGAAAGGCTCCCCGGGCACGGTGGCTTGTCAGCGGAGCACAAGCGTAGGGACAGGGCCCTGACGTGGTCCTCACCTTCATCCTGGCATCCGTGTGCGTGCCGGCAGCTGGAGGTTTGCACCCACAGAGCATGGAAAAGCCTGGCTGCCTCTGCGCGGGCTCACCCCCTGTATCCCGGGGTGGGGAGGATGAGTTCCCTAGGCAGAGCAGGAGTGGGGAGAAACAATAGACAACTGACAAAAGCTGTGTATTTTCTTTTTTTTTTTTCTTTCTTTCTCCTTTGCCCAGGAGAGGCGTGAGGGCTTACCGGCAGGATGCCGCTGGTGAAGAGGAATATCGAGCCCCGGCACTTATGCCGGGGGGCTCTTCCCGAGGGGGTGACGAGTGAGCTGGAGTGTGTCACCAACAGCACGCTGGCTGCCATCATCAAGCAGCTGGGCAGCCTCAGTAAGTGACGGCACAGCGACCCCGGCGTGGAACGGGGATGGGGTGGCGGGATGCTGGTGGGATGCCGGTGGGATGCCGGTGGGATGCTGCGGTTGCTTGTTCTAAGAAATGGGAGCTCCGTGAGAGCTGTGCCGGTTGCAGCCACCCCTAATTCTGTGGGAATTATCCAGCTAATAAAAAAAGGAGGATGCTCAGGGCCAAGCCCAACGTGGGGACTTGGTGACCTTTTTAAGAGCCATTTTCCACCCGTAGCTGGTCTGTGCAGGGGGGGATGGAAAGCCTTCACGAGCCCCTTGCTTTTTGACTTGGCCAGAAATAGGAAGGTCAGGCAAAGATTAAAAAATCCCAACCTATTTTTTCTCACCTTAGAGCCTTATGAGAAAGAGAGGTCTACATAAAGGGTCTAAATCCTCGTCTGTCTTTCTGCCCTGAGACTGATTTCAGCAGAAAAGGGGAGGACAAGAGCCCTGCACATGCCAGGTTTAATAGAGGCAACCTACTTCACTGCTGAATACTTAAAATAAGGAGAGAAACGCAGACTCTTCAGGGCTCCCTCTCTTCTTCCCCTCTTTAAAACTAGATTCCCCTCTAAAATACTTCCAGAAAAATAAACCTGGTATTTAGGGAGCTGCTGGAAGCGTGGTGGCTTGCAGGAGCAGCACCCACGGGTGCTCAGGCCATGGCTACCCCGTCCAGGGGAAAAGGAAATCAAATACAAACAGCTGAGCAGATATCAAAAGCGCCTTGATCTAGGGAGCTGTTTGATATGTGTTTTTGGAGGAGACCCTGAGGATCTGGGGTGCTGGGCTGGGCTGGGCTGGGTGCTGGGATGGGCTGGGTGCGGGGATGGGATGGGATGGGTGCTGGGGTGGGATGGGCTGGGTGCTGGGCTGGGCTGGGTGCTGGGCTGAAGTGGGTGCTGTGGCCTGCAGGTGTCAGCAACGCTCTGCTCAGCCCTGTGATGAGAATAGCTGTAATAAAGAGCTATCGCAGTGATGCACTGAGTGCTGCAGGAAAAAAAACTGCTAAAGTGAAACAAATCGCAGCTTCTCCCTGCTGCAGCCCTCTCCCCGCTGCCCTGCTCTCGATTTTCCACCTTCAGGGCTGGGTTTCTGTGGGTGATGCTGCAAGGCCAGCGGGTGATGGTAGATTTTTGTTGGCATCTGCCCTGGTAGATCCGAAGGCTCATTTTAGGATGAGCACCGCCACGGTTTGGTGCCTCCCGTGGTACTGCTCTTGCTGAAAAGGATGCTGGTGTGTGGAGGGGGGCAGGTGGCTTGTGCTCCCCTCCCGCCGTGCGGCGCTTCGCCAGGTCTGCGAGGGGAGGAAGCTCAGCTCCCAAAAACCCGAAGCTGGGGAGAGAGCCCCACGGAGCCGGTGGGGAGGCTGGGAGGGAGCTGCCTGCCCTCGCCCGTGACGGGTGCGTGTTGCCCTCTGCCAGGCAGGCACGCGGAGGACATCTTCGGCGAGCTGTTCAACGAAGCCAACAGTTTCTACATGCGGATGAACTCGCTGCAGGAGAGGGTGGACCTGCTGGTCATCAAGGTGACGCAGCTGGACTCCACCGTGGAGGAAGGTGAGGGGCTGTTTCGGGGTGACGGCCGGGTGCCAGCGGGTGGGAGGCACGGGCTTGGGGCCTGAGCACCCGCCGTGCCCGCTTTGGGGGGGCTGAGGCCACCCCTGCATCCCTTCTCCTTCCCGTGCCCCCAGTTTCGCTGCAGGACATCAACATGCGGAAAGCCTTCAAGAGCTCCACGGTGCAGAACCAGCAGGTCGTGTCTCGCAACTCCATCCCCAACCCGGTGATGGAGATGTACCAGCGCTGCGACAAGCCCCCGCCGCTCAACATCCTCACGCCCTACAGGTAGGGTGGCCGGCGCATCGCTCCTTGGGGTGACCGAGGCGGGCCTAGGGGGGCTTGGGGGGGCCCTTTTTCCAGGAGGGCCATCAGAGGTACACCCCGTTTGCTGCCTGGTGAGGGCAAATTTGCTGTGCCACCATTCCCATTGTGTAGGGCCCTTGGGATGAGTGACCCCCCGCAGTTGTACTGCAGGTGGTGACCGCTGTGTTGGACATACTCGCGGTGGGGCAACAGATGATGGCCGTGATCCTCCCAAATCCCCCTGTGCAGGGGAAGCGAGGGTCTTCTCCTGTGGCTGATAACCCCCCTCCTCCTTTCCCAACTCCTCAGGGATGACAAAAAGGACGGCCTCAAATTTTACACGGACCCCTCCTACTTCTTCAACTTATGGAAGGAGAAAATGTTACAGGCGACGGAAGATAAGAGAAAGGAGAAGCGCAGGCAGAAGGTAACGGGCAGGTGGGGGGCACTGGGGTGACTGGAGCTGGGGCTGAAGGTGACCCTGGGGGAGGGTCACCTTCCTGGGGCATCCCACGCGCTCCCCCTCATTGGGGGGTAACCCAGCGGGGCTGGGAGATGCTCCCTGGGTACCACTCACGGTCCGGAGGAGCTGGGCTGAAGATGGAGCCGCGGCTTTTGTGTGTCCCCAGGAGCAGCGGCTGGTGGAGGACTCTACCCGGGAGGTGAAGAAAGTGAGGAAAGCCCGCAACCGGCGCCTGGAGTGGAACATGATGGCATATGATAAAGAGTTTCGACCTGATAACAGGTTCTCACCATCCCCCTATCACATGGCGTCATCGGAAGGATCACTGTCCCCAGATAACAGGCAGGTTTTACCTACTACGTGTTCAGCTCACCGGCTCTTCTTCGCTTTTCTCTTCTTCTCCGTCTTTGGGGGGACGTTTTGCCTGCAGCAGGGTTGGGGTGATAAGCTGTAAAACCCGTGGTAGCTTCAGGGACAGCTGGTGCCCCCGGGGTCGCACCCTGCACCTCAGGAGCAGCATTGGTGTCGGGATAAAATCAGGGCACTTTCCATTTAGCAGCTAAGGGAAGAGACTGGTTCAGCTGTGTTGGTGTCCTCCTCCCCTCTGCTATCTCTCCGCTTTCTTGTATATCTATTTTTGTGGCCGTTTTTTGTTTTGTTGTCTCAACCCCAAAAATACTCCCAAACCCATGTACCCCCGACTCTCCCTGCCCAGCTGACCCCCCTCCCAGGCGTACAACCCTTGGGTTTTCCTGTGCCCGTAGATCTTACGCGTCGGACGCGGCCGACCACTCGTACCCGGCGAGCCCCAACCACCCCGCGCAGCTGCTGGCTCCGGTGTCCCACCTGGCCCCGGCGGAGCACAAAGAGGGGGTGCTGGCAGCTGCACCCCCCCAGGAGCACGTCTACCGCCCGGCACCGGCAGCAGGCAGCCGGCAGAACAGCCTCAACCGCCTCCAGCAGCCCCACGTGCCGCAGCCCCCCGAGGCTATCCTCAACGGGCCGAGACCTCACTTAGTCAAGGATTACGGGTAGGGCTTCAGCCTGCCTTCTTCTCTCCTGGTGGAGAGATGCCCAGGGGAAGGGGGGCTCGGTGGGGGTCTCATCCCCCCGATTTCTGAGCTGATGTAGCAGGGAGAGCCCTCCTCCTCTTCAGCCGCTGTGGTCCAAAACTGTTGGTGAGACCTGAAGCCAAATCAGTCAGGAGCACTTTTGGGGCAACCTCATCCCCGATAAGGGGACGAGGTGGATGGAGGGGACCGTTTTCCCCCGGGGGTGTTGGCTGCCTTCCCACCTCTGCATGCCCCAAAGCCCCACGAGCTTACACGGGGGTGGCAGAGCAAACCAAGCCACAGCTGAGCCGGTCGGTGCCCTGGGCTGGGTGGCGGGTGCCTGGGCTGGGCTGGGCGCTGTTGTTCCTCCCGCCGCTGACAAGGCTTTGCCCTCCCGTTGCAGCCCGCAGCCGATGCCGATGGCAGAGTACTTCGTGCCCCCCGCCCCGCCGCCCCCGCCCCCCGTCATCCCCTCCGCCCAGACCGCCTTCGACAGCCCCATCTCTGCACCCCCGGCGCTGGCCCCCGGCTCGGCCGCCCCCCCCTCCTACGCACCCTCACCACCCCCCGCGCCCCCCGGCCCCTATTCTGCTTCCCCGCCGCAGGCCGGGCCCATGGGACCCCCGGTGGCACCCCCCCCGCCACCACCAGGGCCCCCCGCCATTGCCGCCTCGCCGGCGCACTCGGCATCGCCACCGGCCCCCTCCGTGGAGCCCCGAAAGCCGCAGATCCCGCTGATGCCCATGAGCGACGCCCGGAGCGATCTGCTGGCAGCCATCCGCAGGGGTGAGTGACGGTGGGGTGGGGGTGGCCGCGGGGGAATGGAGGAGGGGGACACACGCACACACACACACACAACCCCCCCCCCCCCCATGTCCCCAACGCTGCCACCGCGGTGGCGAAACACCTCTTGGCGTAGAGTTGGGTGGCGTTGGCATCGTCGAGCCCTGGGTGGCCAGGTGATGCGTGAAGATGGTGGCACCCAGGTGGGACCTGGGGAGGGAAGGAAATGCAGGGCGGGGGGGTTGGAGGGAGGAAGTGGGGGGAAACCTGTCACGGGAGGTGGGACAGCCTCCCCCCCCCCCCCCCCCGGGAGACGACCGGCAGCTCGCGCGCGCGTGGCCTCCTTCCAGCCTGCAGCGGATGATGCGCTCCAAGGCTGCTTCCATTTCCCCTTCCTGCAAATCCTGGGGTCGAATGGTAGATTTAACCTTCGAGAAGGTTTAACCTCTTCAGGTCAAGTGGAAGCGGAGGAGGAGCTTGATTCTGTTGTACAGCTTTAGAATCGCACGCACTGCTTTATCATCTCACACAGCTTTGCAGTCGAGTGCCTCCTCCTACAAGAGGGCTGCAGCTATCTTGTTTCCGCCAGTACTCTTAACTGGCAGGATGCACCCACGGGTGCTGGGCGTGCTGCCCCTAAAGACTTCTCCCATTCCCTACCGCAGGAATCCAACTCCGGAAAGTCCAGGAGCAATGGGAACAAGAGGCCAAAAAAGAGCCTGTGGGCAACGACGTGGCGACGATCCTGTCCCGCCGGATCGCGGTGGAGTACAGCGAGTCCGACGACGACTCCGAGCTGGACGATAACGAGTGGTCGGACTGAGGGGCCCCGGGGCTGGGCTGGCGCGGAGCTCCCCGGCTCCGTACCAGGTGTGTATAGGCGCCTTCCCCAACCCTCGATGCCAACAAGCGCGGGCGGCCCCGCTCATTCAGGAGCTTTGCTTTTACACTATGTCAAAAACCCTTCGGGCAGCAGCAGCACTGGTAGGATACACCTCGGAGGCAGTGAGACCAGAAATTAGCAGCACCTTCACATTTAATGACTTCAGTAACGCTCTGAAGGCAGGTTGGTAGGATTACTCCAGATTTACACCCGGAGCACGACCAGAGACTGGCCCTGGGTGTGCTTTGCTAGAGAAGGGAAACCCAGAGTGCTTTTTCAGCTAGATGTTAAAACGTGTTAATGAGAAGCTCCTGGAGAAGAAGCCTGATCGCACAGCTGGTGCCACCGTGGGTGTGCAGGGACAGCCGTGCACTGAGTTTGGGGGTGCTCTGCTGCCTGCACTCGTAGGATCAGGCAGCTCCAGAGCCTGTGTGTGAGCAGGAGCCTCCTTCCCCGTAGAACCGTGCGCCACGTCTCGCCGCAGCCGCGTAGGAACGGTCACCATCGTGCTGTCACTCCCTGGAGAAGTCCAAAGCGTTGGTGACCGGAGCCCGTTTCCATCCTTAGGACCAGTTTTCTGGGAGAAACGGGTGAAGGCAAGGCAGGGAGATGCAGTGGTTGTCTGGGCTTTGAAAGGTGCCATGTGTGCTGTGCTCGGGGGGGGGGGGGGGGAAAGGGGCTGCCAGCAAGGGAGCAGAGGTGCCCAGGGAACCTCCCCAAACCCAGCTCCCCTTGGCCTTAGTGCGACACCACATCAGTGTTAATTAGACAAAATGCTGCTCTTTGAGGTAAATTCTCAACTTGCACTTTGCAGCCCCATAAACCGTGCCTGTACAATTGAGATCAGCTCAGACCCAGGCACTAATTCCCCCTGGCCGCATCCTGCCCTGTCCCTTACCCTGCAGGTGGGCGCTGGGGGGGGAGCCTGGAGAGCTGGGCCCCCACCACGGCGCTGAAAATACCAGTTTGCTCGTCAAAATGGAGCGTGATTCATCAAAGGCTTTTCATGCAGCTACGAAGGGAGAGGGCATGGGATGGCAGAGCGAAGGGGTGGGGAATACTGAAAATATCACAAGGCAGGAGTAAGAGCCTGCAGAGAGGCAGGAGGGGTTCCCCACCAGCAGAAAACGGGCCAGGATCAGCCGTGGACTTGCCCAACACAGTGTCCCGGGGTCCTCTCTTGTGTTCCCATAAACCACGAGTCTCTGAATGGGGGAAAACCAAGTCCCCCGTGTTGGATCTCTTCTGGGGAGAAGCTGGGCCCTGAGCCCACCTCCCAGCTCTCCCAGTTGCCATGTAGTTGATGGCTACAAAAATAGTATTCTGACTATCTAGAAGCGACCAGACCCGTAGAGGAGGTAGGAGGATATGGCTGGGACCCGAAAGGCTGATCCTTAAATTCATCCTGAGAAGTGCTAGTGTTGAACGATGCCCCCAGCACCTGCTCATTTTCCCCCTGGTGAGAAACCCTTCATGGTGAGATGCGATCAACCCCTCGCCCAGCTGCAGGGAAGTATCCCCAGGAGAGCCCTCCCTTCTCTTGGCTGGCACACAGTGGTCTCTTGTCCCTTGGACATGACACCTCCCGCATCTCCACATCTGGGCTGCGAGCTGTGGTGCTGAGCGGGGGGCTTGAAGGGAGGAGCAGCGTGGACGGGGGAGATGGCATGGATGGTTAGGGAAAGGCTTAGAAGGGGATGCCCTGCCATGGGCCACATCCCTGGGTTTGCACACACCCCCGCCCCCTTTCCTTAGGGAAAGCTCCCCTTGACTTCATCAGGGCTGATTGTCAGTGCAGGAACTGCAAATAAAATCCTTGGGTTTAACCCCAGATTTTCCCATTTTGGGATTAAGCTGCTCGGGTGCTCGCCCCGCTCTGCCTGTCGAGGAGCAGCCTCTCCCAGCACAAGGAAACCTAGCAGTATGGGATGAGCTGTACGGATCAATCCCAACCTCCCGTTTTGCCAAACTCCTGCTGCAGGCAGGCAAGAAGCAGCAGAGCAATAGGACGCATGGCATAGCTCATCTGCAAAACCCCAGGAAACAGGCTTGACCAAAGGAGACAGGGAGACATGGTGTACTGCAGGTGACCAGGAAATTCCTGACGCTTGGTGCTCACCGAGAGCTCTCGTTTCTCACGTTGACCTTCTCGAGATGCAGAGAACCAGCTGCAAAAGCTTGTAGCCAAAACTTGGTGTCTCTGCCCAGGCAGAGAGCCCCTTGTGATGGGCTTTCCTTGCCGAGGTAGCTGGGTTTGACCTGAAGCAAGTTCAGAAGGACATCTTGTAAAAATTCAGAGCAACATTTAAGCAGTCACCTGGCAGCGTTTGTTGCAGAGTGTTATTAATATAGATGCGATCGCAATACTCTTTGTATATGAAGAGACATTGAGTTTATTTGGATAATTTAGAAAGTAATAACCCTTTGTGAGAGGGAGAGAATAACAGAAGGCTGTCGGAGCTGCTGTTACCTGTTACAGCAGTCAAAAGGCTGCAGAGTTGGCGGTGGGGACCCAGCTGGGGCTTGGGCAGAGCCAAGGAGTCCCACCAGCACGTGAAGGCAAGGAAGGGGCTCTGGGACACGTGAGGTTGGCTCGTCACTTGAGTCTGTGACTCTCCCCGTTCTGCAAAGCTGAGCTCCAAAACAGGAGAGGACCCGAGTGCCCCTGGAAGACTGGGTTGCTTCTTTTCATGCCCTGGTTGCTTTGTGCATGTCAGGTGAAACTGTGGTCACTTTGTCAGGGCTCCGTCGGCGCCCGGCAGGTCAGGATTGCCCCTGTAGCCTCCCGCTTCCCTGTCACCTCACAGCAACTTCGCTGCGCACAGGATTGGCAGCAGTCGCTCAGCCTGTGCTTCTACCGGGGTTGATGCTGTCGCATGGCAAAGCACTCGACAATCACGTAACTCAGGCCTCACCTGCCCTGTGCACAGGCCACGTCCGCAGAGCGGATGGGCAGCTGGGAGCCTCGGGGGCTCAGGTAGCACGGCTCGCCCCCATTTCCTCACACCTTGGTGTTCTTACAGCATCCCCTCCTCTTCCAACATCCCAGCACATCCTCACCGTTGGCATTCTGCTTCAGGGAATTCCCAGCCCCTGGTAACCCAAACCCATTTCACATGCTCAACTCCAGACCGAGTCGGCAGGCCCATAACCTCCCGGCATTGCCCACTGCTTGAAGTCATCATGCTCCAGCTCTTCCAGGGATCTGAACCGCCTCAGCTCCGCTGAAGCGGTCTTGATTCCAGGGATGAGAGATCCACATCGGAGCTCGTTGCTCAGGTTTCTTGGGAAGCTGGTGGAGAAGTAACCTGGATGGTCAGCGTGGGCTGTAGACACTCATTTCTGGTGTGATCATGGCACACACCTTGTTCTTCCCAACTCTCTCCTGGCAGTGCCATGAGGCAGGCAAGCACGCGATGGCCCCGAGAGCCCCAGACTCATGATACAGCCATTCCTGCAAGGCCAACATCCTCAGTGCCTTTGCTTGAGGGACTCAACCACCTTTGAGGATCACCGTCATTATTTTAGGTGCGTTCATCTATTTTTTTAAATACAGGTGACTCATGAAATTCAACACAAGTGACACCAACTCCTTGGTTGGGCTGGGTTAGCTCTGCTGGAATTGGTTGTGCCATACTAATTAACACTGACTGGCTGACCCATATGCTGCTTACTCAATATTTTGTACATCTGTGCCTATTTCCATATACTCTTCCAAAAGTAGGCCATGCTGTGTTACACAACCTGAAATGCTCAAATCCTCATGTGGGCCGATATAAAAGTGAATATTTCAATATTTTATCTAGCTTGGCAGCCATTAAAAATACAATCCAGGTCACAAATGATGGAATTTCTCCCCTCTCAAGTGTACCAGAAGTGGGCTGAGGAGATTCTCCTGTACATTAAGGTATCACATTCCACGTTAAAATATAGCAGTGGCATTTCATTGCCAGCAGATAATCAGAGTGCCAAACATTTAATGAGCCCAACTGATCTCCTGAGAGTTCCTCTTTCCATTTTATCTGCTTTCTCTCCTACTTGCTAGTCTATGGGCATAGATTAAAAATAATAAATAAGACTGCCAACAGGGGGAAGCATATTCTGTATGCATCCAAATTAATTGGGCCAAAGTCAGTGGAAGAGTAAATAAGCCAGTTTAGTTCTGCTTAGAGACATTAATGGAAGGCTCTAGTCCTTGAGGTCCATCAGGAACCTCTTGGACATCTCTGATTTACCTGAAAAGGAACATTACGGGGACCACCGTGCCCATGGTATGCCAGTCATTGCCTGTGAGGGCAACATCAGGTGTGAAGTCTGGTCTTGCCCAAGTTTTGTGAAGGTTGGTGGAAGTCGAGCTGTGTTCATGTTCCAGTGTTGCACCCTCAGTGCCTCCCTGATTTTGAGTGAACATTGGAGCTGGTTGTTGACACTGGTGGCTCTTAGAGGATCAGTGTCTTGAAGGAATTGGGTAGTTTCTAACCTTCCACCCTGGGCAGAGAACCTAGGGAGGAACGAGCATCGCATCTTATGAGAACTCCTGCTTTTGCAGCTATTTTATTCCAGGAAGGTTTTATTCTGGTGACAAATGTAAGGCTGAACAGAACTTCTCCAGAGAGCTCCCTTCATATAGGAGCCCTCAAATTTCCTCCCAGAAATTTTTCCATCTCCCTTTCAAGACACCCAACAGCCTGAACAGAAGCAGCTTTGCAGACTCCCCTGGGAACAGAGCCTGAATTAACACCTTGGCTTTAACGATAAATGGAAGTCTCATTTGGAGGGAGGCAGGTTGTAGCACTGGAGGTAGTATTTTGGCGAGTGCTTTCTGGAGGCGCACGGCCAGCAGAAGCACCACGCGGTTTCCTTGTGGACGGACCATGGTGGGCCATGGGAAGTTCTCCCCATCATGGGATGCTGGCAAGGGGAGCATAGGCTGTTCCTTTCACCATGATTCCTGTTTTCCTGTAGTAGTAGTTGATATTTAGGGGTAAGGTTTCCTCAGCTGAGATGTCACTTTACAGACAACAAAAAAAAAAAAAAAAAAAAAAAAAAAAAAAGGACAAGAACTCTGTCCTGAGGAGTTTACAGCAAAGACCATATAACCTGCACTGCACTTTAGAAGCCTCAAACGCTCACTCACCCATGAACTCATCCTCAACTGGGCAGCAGCACCTTGAGGACTGTTGTCCCTTCCTTAAGTGACTCCACAACCAGCACCACACCTGCATCCCCCCCGCTGATGGCAGCAGTGGGGCTCTCCTGCCCCTCCCGCTATCCCCACGCAAAAGTGCCTGAGCAAAGTACGGGAGCGCCAAGGCATGCTGGTTTTGTCTCTGAGCAGGTCACCATGCCCTCAGGATGGCCCCTGCCCATCACACAGGGCTATGCTCCTCGGGGATGGCCATGCCTGCAATAGGAAACTTGCCCAGGCTCACCGTTGTGGCTACCTGCCGACACTTAGAGCTGCCCATGCAATTCGTGTGATGCCCTCCAAGCTCATAGAAAACATCCTCTTTCAGGCATTTGTACCTAAGCCTAGACTTTGAAGTATTTCAATCTTTTGGAGAGTCAAAGGGTTTTTTTTTTCCTGTGAATCTGATCTTCCTTTAAGAAGCTCCAGGTTTTTTAGAATCATTCGCTCAAGCTCTTTCCAGGTGAGAATCACACCTGCATTTTGCTGGGGGAGGGAAGGAAAAAAAGAAACCATCAAGAACTTCAGTGAAGGGTTTGCTCCAAAGCCTTCTGTACCGTGACCACAGGCAGGGTGGGAAGAAGACACTGGGATGTTCCCAAAGGAGGACACCATCCCAGTGGCATCACTAGGCTGAGGCAGAGCCTGCAGCGAGGGATGGGCTCTCACAGCCGGGAGATCTCCAGGCAAGATCTGGATGGGATGTGCTTGGCCACGGTGTCCCCTGAAGGCAATGTTGATGTGACATTATCAATATTCATGTCTGTCTTGCATTGATACAGAGCCCTGAGGCCACAAACACCTCCGCAGCACTATATGATGGTGGAGCACTAACGCTTCACCTTCCCACGGGCATCCCTCCTAGCAGATATCTTCCCCCAGGTGCTACCTTCCAGAGGTCCCTCTGTAGTTTTTTTGCTCTCAGCAGGAAAAGGCTTCAATCTCTTGTTGGTCATTGTGTCTGGGGGCTCTTGAGCCCCAGCGTGTGTGAAGTGAGCCTTTCCCTGCACATTTCTCCCACGGTGGCAATGCCAGGGGACCGGGTTGGCCCTGGGGGACTTCCAGCCTTATGATAGCTCTAGCACGTAGCTGCGTAGAAAGTATTAAGATGACAGAGAGGAAGAAATAAAACAGAAAGAAAAGGTTAGTTATGCTCCCATCACTCGGTACAGGAAGAGCCTCAGGTAAGTAAAACCCTGTGCAAACCCACAAAGAGCAGCGGGGAGAATAAGCCTGCTCCCCATGCACGTGTCAGACCAAAGTGCAAGGCATGGGATCGAGTTGTGGCAAAAAAAAAAAGGAGTTGAATCAGATCTCAGGGAAAGCTTTCTCCAGGTAAGGACAGAAATTCCAAAACAAGTCACAGAGGGTCTACCACAGGAGGGCTTTGAGAAGCAGGTAGGCAAACACCTGAGAGGAACAGTGTCCGTGACCCTGTGCTGGGCCAGGGGATGGTGCTCACAGTGCACCTCTTTAAACCCAGCACGTTTGCAGTTGTGCCTCATCACCTCCTTCAGTGCCACTACTTGTTGTTCTGTCCCAGCAGGTTACAGCCCCAAAGCACGACCCATCAGCCAGGGCAACCTGCTTGTACCTTCCCTTAGCTTTCCTGGCCCTTCTCCAATTTTGGTGTTGAGCCTCAAATACCATAAAGATAAAACGTACAGCAGAATAAGCATCTGAGAGGAAAAAGATGTGAACTAATGTCAGAAAACCAGGATGTGCAGCTGCTGCTGCTATATTTCACTAGTTAGAAAGCAGCAGCTCCAGCAGCCTGCACCTCCCGACCACTCATGGTCCACAACTGCAGTGTATAAACCATGCTGGTGCATTAAGGTGAACAATTTAAAAGTTACTCTTTGATTTGACATAGCTCAATTAAAGACTCTAAAAATGAACAACCTCACCCCCCCCCCCCAAAAAAAAACAAACAAACAACCTGAAAAACAAGCAAACAAACAACTCACATGTGATTTCCAGCAGAAAATTTCTTCTATCTCCTTCCCCCGAAAGTTGAGGGAAAGTCAGACCCAATGTCGCTGCCCCATTAGCCACCAAAAAAATTGAAGAGCTATCACCATAACTGCTGGCAAAAATCATTAAATTTAATGTTTCCAAAAATCAGCTTCTAAGAAGCCAGTGTTTAAGAACAGAGCAAACAGCACATCAGCCCACAGTGCAACAAGGAGACGCCACCGGAGGAGGTGATTTTATCCCTGAAGGCCCCACCCCAGCTCAAGTGTTTCAAATCCCATTGATTTTCACCTGTTACTGGTGCTTGTGTATGCCTGATGCCTCAGCTGGGAATACTTACTCCATAAAGTATTCTTGCCATGAAAAAAAAAAAAAAAAAAAAACCAAGCATAAAGATCCTGCATTAGAAATGAAGTAGACTTGGAGCCCGATGAAGTTACTGTGATGTATACATTGAGGAGCTGTTGATTTCCTGCTGGCAGCAGGCACAGTCCTGCCAGGTCTCCAAAAATCAAACTGTTATGATCATCGACACCCCCCCTCACCACCACCCCCACCAAAATTATTTTTATACTGAGATGTTTCAGGTCTACCTTTAGTTCTGACCAGTTTTCCACAAATGGGGCCTCTCTTTGTGGTGCCTTCCATCTCAGCTCGGAGCAGATTAGGAAAAGGAGAGAAAGTCCCCACTGGAAAGAAACCTTTTTTTTTTTTCCAAAATGCATTTTTAGGAGTGTTTTGGGGCTGATGGCTCCTCCATCTTAATAGGCTTCATTTTGGGACTGCTTGACTTGGGGAGGGGTGGAATTTGAAATGGGATTCCCCGCCGTGAGTTTGGGTTGATGCTGCAGCGTTGCTGGCGCTTTCCTCCCCTCCGTTTTCGGCTGCGCCCCGTCGCGCGCGGGGCTCGGGCCCAGTGTTCCCGTTGGTGGGGCAGCTCCTTACTGACCCAAGTGCCTTTTCTGGAGGTTCCCCATTGCATTGCTGAGGAGCTTCTCAGCTTCACGGGGCCGGGGCGGCGGGGGGGGGCTCACCGAACTGGGGAAGGGCAGGGCACTTCCAAGAATTTCTGATGCACACCCTGTTCCTGGGTGGAAACCTGGATCTGCCCAGATTCCGAGGTATCTGCTGAGATTCTTCCTTCCTTGGGCATGGGTAGGGGTTGTTTCGGGAGCAGATTTTACTCTGGTCTTGGCCAACCCAAGGAAAACCTGCTCCAGCAGCCACACGTCTCCGGGTGCACATGCAAACGTTGCACCTTCGGCACGGTGTCCCCAGGAGGACATGGTGGGCACGCAGGGAGGGGACAAACCCTGTCACCGCTTTGCTGTGGAGCATGCATATGCTGGTGGGTTTGCTCCAGGGTGTGTGCCTTGCTGCTGCCGTGAGACGAGCATTCAGGCTGGAGAGCCTTCCTCCTCCTCCTCCTCCTGCCCCAGTCCAGGGCCCCTGGGGCAATGCCAGCCGCTGCCGCAGGACAGGAGCCATCTCGCTGCCAGGTTTCCATCACCTTTAGAGTGAGTAGAAGCACAAGCACGTCTGGGTGAGGCCGGGAGCTGCAGGAACATTATTTTGGGGGGAATTGAAGGCAGGTGAGGATCATCTCCTGCGCCCTGGACCTGGCAGCCCAGGGATCAAGGCTAGCCCAGGCCAGGCTAGGAGCACCTCAGACACCCCAAACCCCGCTCTGCACTACCCAAACTCAGCAGCTACAAGACAGGGAGACCTCCCAGAGCACTGGGGCAACCCATCCTCCTAAAAGAGAGCATCTGTGAGCGGCCAGCTTGAGCCGAGCGTTTCAAAAGCAGTTTTCTCCCCCTTTGGCACCGGGCATTCATATGTACAGCCCGGAGCCAGCGCTGGGGCCGGTCTTTACGGAGGTTGGCTCCAGCTGTGCAGGGGTGGCACGGTGGGGACAGGTTGGTGCCAGCCTGGTGGCACCTTGCAGTTGGCTTCCCGGGGTGCTCAGCGTCGGTGGGGCTGACCCACTGCTCCTGCAAAAGGCTCATTTTTTAATACCGGCAGAGGTGTTGCCCGTATTTCCTTCAACTTGCCGTTTGATGGAAGCAGCTGATGGGAGACGGACGTCTCTCCCATGGGAGGGTCACCCCTTAGAGGCCATAACTTGATTTCCATTATTATATAGCTGACATTAAAAAAGAAGGAGATGTTCACTGTCTAATGGGGTCTTTTAACCACGTGCACTTAGTCAATAGGTGAGTAGATGTTGCTGCTTGTATCTATCTACTGTACCCAGTTGCTACATGTGAACAAGTGTGTTTCTCCCCAGTGTTGTGGGTTCTGCCTGTCGTGACACGATGATGGAAAGGTAGGGACTACGTTGGTTGCAACACGAGCTTTCTTCTGTACAGTGTAGAGAGGAAACCTGGAACGATCTGAAGCACCGCTTGTAACTACATTTGTTCAAAGGATGTCATCTTAATCCCAAACTGTTGACACTTTATGCATGTGCTAATTAAGATAATAATAATTATTATTAATAATAATAATAATAATAAAGATTTTAAGAGGTTAAAGTAGATTTGGGTTCGGCTTTTTGTCATCTTGCCCTTGCTGGGTCCCTTTGCTGTGAGTTATCAGCCCTGTGATACTCCCTTCTCTATTAGAGGCCAGGGCACAGAAGCAGCAGCAGAAAGCTGTGATAACTCTATAAGGCTTCCTTTGGAGAAACCAGCTCTCAAAGATCAATTCAATCCCATGGGTATTTAATCCCTGACCGCCTGGGTAATCAGAGGGCAGAGGGCAGCTCGCTGATGGGAATGTCTCCGTCCTTGTGCTTGGTGGCTCCGGGCGGCAGGAGCTGTTGCTTCCCAGCCCCTACAATCAATGCCTCGAGCAGTTCTTCTCCTCAACCAGCTCATCGTGATCCAGCTGGGAACACAGACCCCGGGAGAGGGAAAGCAGAAACCTGGACTAGACTCGCTTCGGCTGAAATAAAAACACAGACACGCACAGTATGGCACATACCTGGGACAGGAGCCCAGATCTTCAACTGTTTTAATTTTAACCCCCCCCTCCCCCTGTTTTTTGATGCCCTCTTGACAAATCACTTTAACAGTTTTATTTACAGTAATAAAAATAAATTACTCTTACAGATGAATGTATAATATTATACACAGTAGAGATACAGTGCAATAACAGCATTGATTTGTGTTCACTCATTCATAAAGTGCATTGAAGGGGCTTGATTTAACCATAATTGAATGACAACTGTACATTTTTCTTTGAGATCACCTTTCCCAGTCGAGTTAAAAGGCTAACGAAAACAGTTACATCAAAATAAGTCGCTGTTTTAATTGCTCTGAAATGGCCTTGGTCCTGGGAAGCAGATAGGACTGGAGGCAGGGTTGGGAATGGAGATGATCAACTCCTGCTCTGCCTGTCTGCGCAGGCAAAGGCGACTCCGACAGCCCCTGCCCGAAGCCTGGCCAGGCTCATCTGGGTTTCAGAGCCTCAGGAGGGCAACTGCAGGGCCATGCTGGGGACCACAGAGCAGGATCTGACCCTGGGCCACCCCAGTTGGGCTGAACTTTTTGCTGAGCTCTGCCACCAGAAACTCATCCCTCCCTCCAAGCTAGAGGATTCGCTCTCTAGGGAGGATGCTATTTATCCTGTGTGGGGACTGATTCGGACCTACTCAAGGGACATCAGAAACGAGCCCAGTCCTCGTCACGCTCGACGTGGTGTAGAGGAAAGGCACGGCCAAGCCGAGAGGCCAGGCTGCCAGCAGTGGCCAGCACTACCTCCCATCCCTAGCCAGATACTTTCCAGTTGAAAAAGAGATTTTCCCGGGACAAGCCAGATGGTTTCCAACTCCCAGATCCTGCAACAACGTCATAAACCTGTGCCTGTGATTTCAGCGTCTACTGATACGATGTGCTGCCAGACATCCAGCCTCCTGCCCGCTGCAGCACGCTCAAATTGTGAAGGAATAACCTTGGTTTAGACACAGTTACACCTGACATCAAGCAGAATTTGTGAAGACAACTCTCACCCTTGAAGTCCGAAACCGTTTATTCACATCCCTCGAAGTCAGGGACAAAAGAGCTTTGGACCACCCGTTCTGATTTGGGTCTTCTCTACTGAAAATCCATTTTATCTCTATAATGCTCTTTATTGCAGAGTTGTCCGGTGGGAATGGGAAAGCTCCATTCCTGGGGTTGCAGGGGCAGCGGGAAGGGCGGCTCTCGGGGGATTTTGCAGCAGGCAGCTGCACTGTCAACCGAAAAGGTACAAATGGTACGAGCGGGGCCGTTAGCTGAGCGGCAGCGCGACCGCCTCACCGAGAGGAAAGGTTGCGCGTGAGTGAAAGGAGTTACAAGGAAATACCATGTGCACTGAACAATTATTCCTGACAATTAAAAGTGAACGGTTAATTAATTGTTAACGATTACATGAGCTGTCGATGCTGCTCAGTACACAACAATACAAGCGATTACCAAGATCAATATAGAACTCCCCGCCCCAAATTTGATGCTTCTGCAAGAAAGAGGTACTTCATCACCTACTGAGAACAGTAATGGTTTCTTGGGATTTTATTCAAAGTTCCATTAAAACTCTTTGTTTGAGATTAAGAAATTGTGGCTGCCACATCAGGACTGAGATCCTTGAGATATCTACTGCTGGTTACTGAAATGAAGTTGGCTAAAAAGAGACGTTTTCACTGCTCAAAGTCCCAAACTGAATAAAACGGAAAGGAAAAAAAGCTAAGCAGCTTTGGTGGTAGATTCTATACACTTTATTAGCTTTTTTTTTTTTTTTTTTTCTCAGTTGAAACCTGCTGGGACAGGGACAAGGGCTTGTTGTAAATGCACAAGCTCACACCCACCCCTAGCACATCTCCACGAAACTCAGGGTGTTCGTGCAGCTGTGGTTACGTCCCATCCAACAGTGTCCCTGGCTTTTTCACAGTATATTCAAGGAAGGTTTTCTCTTTCTTTCTCCTCACCCTTTCCTCACCCCCTTGACTAAAGCAGCCAGCCACCGACACAGAAAGCATTTCAGACCTGTATTCTGTTCTACCATACTCATGGTAGAAAAGGCAAAGGCAGGCAGAAACCTGTAAATAAATCAACCAAATAAGCAGCAGATTCATTTCCCTGGCTACACTGATCTCTGCCATAGGCTCGGGACTGGTGAGATACCTTGGGCAATTGCTCAGGACTGATTTTATGCTTGTTTCTGCTGCTGTAGATCTAGAGCAGCTCCTGTAAAGTCCAGAGTGACATAAGTGTAAGCAGGCCCAGGCTCCAGACCTTCGTCTTTTGTCAAAAGTTATTTGAAAACCTCAGTTTTTGAAGGTACAGTGGCAAGATGTGGGCTGTTATCCAGGGTGAGGACACAAAGGTCTTCCCAACCGAACACTGACCAGCCCTCTCCCAGCAGGTCCAGTTTCCACATGGAGTGGCCACAGAGGCTCTGTGGAAATCGAGGGACACTTGCAAATTTCTACTGGTTAAAAGACCTTGTGCTTCACAAAACTTTCGCTGTCCTCGTGTATCTCATCTGAAAAGCGGAATAATTAAATCAATGGCTTTTATAGACCTCAACTTTCCTAATTACTTGTGACACGGGAATCTCAGCCGGAGGAGGCTTATCAATACATTCAATACCAGAAAATGGAGAACCACAGGCCATACTCTGGTTGCTCTGTGTCCTCCTCATGATGCCCAGGAGCTAGACAGGGGCTTGCTTGGCCTTTCCCACCATGTTTGCAGATGCTTTGGAGCCTCAGGGAATCCACTGAGGATTCACTGTGCTGAAAAACCCTCGCTGTTTTCCAGTGTTCCTCTTACAGTTGGTGCTCCATCCACATGGGACACCATCACATTCACGGGAGCTGCTCCTCGGTTATGGCAACACAACCTCACCCAAATTCAGGCCCTGTATTCTGCACTAAACACGTCCCAAAGCCGGCGCTGAAGGACACCAGGACATTCCCCCCCTGCACACAGCATTGCCAACTTGGTGACTATTTTAAGGTTTTAAAATAGCTCTCCTGATGTCCAACATAAAGAAGCTCCAACACCCAGTGTCCTCACTGATGTCCAACATTGTCACTCAGGGCTTTTTCCAGTGAAAGATTTTCTTTAGGAAAAAAAATAACAACACACCAAAACAAAGGCGCAGTAAAACGGCCAGATTTCCACAACGCAATGCAGGTGAACTCATACTTGTTTACCTTCTTCCTCACTTCAACTTGTTTTCTCCTCTTTCCACTGATAAAAAAGGAGAGGAAAAAGCAGCAAAGGAAAAAAACATCTAGAAAATATATTTCTTTTTATTTAGTGGAAAGACCGCAAAAATGCCAATTTATCAAAATGTTCTCTTGAAGAGATTTTCTTCTGAGACTTTTCCTGAAGCCTATCAAGTATTTTTAACAACTGCCACGGCCGCCTTTAACAGCTTCCAAGAGATCCTAGACCATCACTTGAAAAAAAATTAGATTGGCATTTTATACTAAATCTGAGCATGCAATATACTTGCACCAAATCTTGATACCGACTGTGCGTTGGGTTAGTGTAGCAGTGGTGCAAGGGCCAGAATTTAGGCAGCAGTTTGCCTTCGCAAAGTTTCTATAAATGTGTTTGGGTGAGTATCAAACACTTCAGTGAGGACATCTCCACCTCCTCTCTAACTTAGCAGTCTGGTAGGGACAGTGTCCTCGGTTTTAGCTCCTCGCATCCCAAATCTTTCTCCTACTGCTGTGAAGGGCCCCAGGGGAAAGTTATTTTCCACTGAACCTTGCATGTCATTGTCAAAACTTATGAATGGATCTCTCAAACCAAGACAGGTTTCAAGTATACAATTAAATTCTAAAAAGAACATTGTTAAAATCAAAATCTTCAGCAAGAGGGAATTGACCGGAAAACCAAGAAAAAGCAACTTTTTTCATGTCAAGGTTTGTCTAGAGCTGTTTAGATAATACTGCATTTCATTTAAAGATACAAAATGGGCTGCCCAGAGAAACAAATATTGTCTTCTAGGTAGGGTTGTATAAAAACATTTCAAAATGCTCACAATGTTTCAAAAATGGTTTAAACTAACTTTGTCTTGAGTTTTCACGCTGAGGAACTGCAGGGACCTGGCTGCGCTTACAGAAACCAGAAGAAATAAGATGAGCAGAGAAAAGTGTTTATATATATAGCTGTATATTACTCTTTCTTATATGTATATTTACTTTTAAATGTATACTGATTCAACAGTGTGCCTACTGCCCATTGCCCAAGGTATTCAAAAGAGAAAGGGAATGAAAAAAAAAAAAAAAAAAAGTACAAATGAGACACTGGCCACCTTTCAAAGGTAGACAAGAAGTCCAAGCCCCAGGCACACTTTGGAGATTCATAGCTTTCTCATGTGCACTTTGCTCTGAGGAGTGAGAAATCTATTGCACAGATCCAGAGAGAAAATACGGTTGTGTCTGGATCCAGCCCTAAAGTGGCTTCGTACCCCCTACAGCCTCCCAAAGCAAGAAGGTTTCTGTCTTCCGCAGAGCTACACACTGTGGTTTGGTGGCCGTGGAGCCGTTGAGAGGAATTTTTGTCCCGTTTGCCAACGGCGTGGCAGAACCCAGCTTCGAGGAGGGGCATTTTGGATGCTGGAGGTCACAACACCCTTCTCTAAAGGAGAGCAACGCGGTTGGGACACCGGGCTCAGCTTGGGGGGGGGGGGGGGGGGGGGGGGGGGGTCTCCTGCCAGGAGTCCCATGCCAGGCCCCAGAGCAACATCCTTCACCTTTCCCCTGAGCCACCCTAGATGTTTCACCCCAAGCCCTGCTGTCTCTCTGAAGGTTGCTTGGTTTGCTGCTTGCTTTTTAAGCGACTGCACTATTCCACTTCTCGGCCAAAAGAAAGCACAAGATAAAGGACACTTCGTCATGGTCTCACAAACACCACAAAGCACATGGCATGGAGAGGAATGTGAGGGTACCGTAGCTTCCTTAATGAAGCAAGTTAAACTGGTAATATCCGGAATAACACGTATCATTACCGAGGCTTCCCTCTAGGGGACCCCAACAAACCCGGCCCCGTTTTGGGATGAAAAATCCCACCCCACGTAAAGCATCCGCGTGGGAGGGAGCGCGGTCGGCGCAGCGCAGCACCCCACGGCTCCAAACCGGGCAGGAGCACCCTTCCTCAGCCTCCCCAGAACCTTGGGGTGGGGGGCACCCCGGCTGCCCTCGCCAGCTGCACACCGGGACCCCCCCCACCCTGCCTGCGGAGATTTTCTTTTTTTTTTTTTTTTTTTTTTTTTTTGGGGGGGGTGTGTGTGTGTGTGTGTGGGATGGACCCCCCCATCCCTGCGGCAGCCCAAAACAACAGCCGTCCCCTAAAGTGCCTTTCGCCCCGCGGGGTCTCAAAGTGCTTCGCAAACGCCATAGAAACAGGCACCGTCCCCGACCCCCCCCCCCCCCCAAACAGGTCCCCTCCACGCCCCCCCCCGGCCCCCCCCGAGCCGGAGCTGTCCGCCCCCGCGGTGCTGAACGCCGCCCCCCCCGCCCCCCCCGCCTCCCCCCCTTCCCCCCCCCCCCCCGGATTATTGCATAGCATTGCAAGACCTGATTTTAGGGGGATGGGCGCCCCGCATAACAACCCCACGCGTGGGGACCAGCACCACCGTGAGGGGAACAGACTCCCTGCCCCGACACCCCCCACACACACACTCCTGTGGCCTTCCCGGCCGCTGCCACTCGTGGGACATGTCCCCGGGGGGTGGAAGCCACCCGGCCGGCAAGCCCACTGCCCCCCTGGCTCCTTACCCCGAGAGGAGACAAACGTCATTGTACGGAGATCTTCTTTCTTTTTTTTTTTTTTTTTTCCTTTTTCCTTTTTTTTTTTTTTTTTTTCCTTTTTCTTTTTTTTTTTTTTTGGTGTTTTGTGTTTTTAAATAAAAAATAAAATGTGTAAGAAAATAACATTTCTAAAGGAAACCATTATCATTCTACTCTCTCTCTTTCTTTCCCCCTTCTTTTTCCCTTTTCCTTTTTTCTCTTTTTGGCCATCTTTTCATGGAACGAGATGTGCTGGCCGGGGGGAGGGGGGGTGGTGGTGTGTGGGGGGGGTGGTGTGTGGTTCCTCCCGGTAGGAAAAAATAACGACAGAAGAAGAAGAAGAGGAGGAGAGCGAGGGAGCGCGGGTCGCTCCGTGCTCGGTCCTCACACGTCGCTGGATGTCCTTGGTCTGGAGGAGAATGTGGAGGGGATGCACCCGCAGCAGGCCAGCCAGAGCGACTTCTGGATGTCGGGGTTCCTGAAGGCGTAGATGATGGGGTTGATGAGGGAGTTGCAGGTGGCGGGCAGAGCCAAGGAGTAGGTGTAGACCACGGGGTAGCTGGAATCGGCCACCAGAGAGTAGATGGCGAAGGGGATCCAGCACAGGGCGAAGGTGCCGAGGATGAGCGAGAGGGTGGAGAGCCCTTTGCGGGTGGAGGTGGCCTGCGCCGTGGCGATGAACTGGTGCTGCACGGCGATCTGCTGAGCGTGCCGGAAGGCGATCTTGCAGATCTGCAGGTAGAGCTGCATCATGAGGGCGAAGAGGAGGAGGAAGGTGACGGCCAGCACCGCCGCGTTGTCCTTGGTGACGGGCCGCAGGATGCTGCAGGCGCTCTGGTCCCGCAGGCAGTTCCAGCCCAGGAGGGGCAGTAGCCCAACGCCCAGGCACAGTAGCCACATCAGCAGCACCATGGCGCAGGTGAAGCCCAACGTGCGCTCGCTGTGGTAGGTGAGCGCGTTGTAAAGCGACAGGTAACGGTCCACGGTGATGGCCAGGAGGCTGCAAACGGAGGCGGAGAAGGCGGCCAGCAGCAACCCCGCCGCCCCCAGCTCCGCCGCCTCGCTGGGCGGCCGCAGCAGGTACCGCACGGCGAAGTTGGCCACCAGCCCCAGCCCGGCCAGCAGATCGGCCAGGGCCAGGCTACCGATCAGCAGGAACATGGGAGCCCGCAGGCTCGGCGTGTAGAACAGCACGGCCAGCACCAGCGCGTTTTCCCCCGCCACCGCCGTCCCCGTTGCGCACAACGCGATGTCCCACGGGCTCACGGCCCCACCGGGCCCGCTGCCCCCCGGGGCCGCCGTCCCCGGCCAGGCGCTGGGCTCCGAGGCGTTGCCGAGCCCCGGGAGCCGCTGCTGCTGCTGCTGCTGCTGCGGCTGCTGCGGCTGCTGCGGCTGCCACGGCTCCCCCATAGCGGCGGGGCCGTGCAGCATCGCTGGGGAGAGAAGGGAGAGGGATGCGCTGAGGGGCTCCGGCGACCCACGCGGGCACCGAGCCCGGGGACCCCCTCGCCGAGCCCCGCACCGAGCCCCGGGACCTCAGCCCCGAGCCCCGGGACTCCCCGCCCCGAACTCCGGGGAGCCCCGCCCCGACCCCCCGGAGCTCCATCCCGAGCCCCGGGACATCCCCCCCCCCCCCGCCCTTCTCCGAGCCCCGGGACCCTCCGCCCCGAGCCGCCCCCGCCCGCCACAAGCCGCCTCCCCCCAACCCAACTGCAGCTTCCCCGGGCAGTCACCCCCCCCCTCACTCCACCCCTACCCCCCCCCCCCCCCCCCGGCCCCACACGCACCCCTCGCCCGGGGGAAGCCTGGCCGCTAGCTCTTGCTCCTCCCGACGGGCTGAGGCCGAACACAACTCAGCGCCCCGCTGCTGGCCGCAGCCTCCATGCGCTCTGCCCCGCGCAGGATCCGCAGGCGCTGCGCACCCCGCCGCCGGGGAAAAACACGCTGCGGTTGCCCCGTCCTCCCCCTCTCCGCGGGGCACAGCTACCTTTTGCCGCCTATTTATAGCGCAAAACCGCACCCCCCCGCCCCTCCGCAGCCCTTTCTTTTTTGCGTGCAGTGAGTAAAAATAAATACTATTAATAGGCCAGCCCTCGCATGGCTGTGGAGCTGCTGATGAAAGGAGAAGGCAGCGACAAGGGACAACCTGCGTTAACTTTCTCCTTTCTCCCTCCCTTCCCCTCCTTTGGAAAAGACTGGTGCAAGATGCTCCCAGCCGGTTGCAAACAACTGCAAGATCCTGCCCTGCTCGGTGCGGTCCCCCCCTTGCAGAGTAAATCCTCTCCCCCCCCTGTTCCCCCGTTGAGGTGTGAAGGTCGGGGGCGGGGGGGGGGCTCTGCCCGCAGCCCGCTGCCGGCCCCCGCCGCTGGCATCCCCCCTTTCCCGCATGCAGCCCAGCCGGGGGGCAGCCGTGACCGCCGAGGGTTGTTGTTTTACCTGGCTTTAATGCTTGAATTTCAGCTTGCTTCCCCCCGTTTTTATTTTTTCCTTCCCAGTCCTTGGTGTTAAGCCTCATTCCTCGGCGAGCATTGCTAATAACGTTGGCAGATAGCTGGCATCGACTCGCACTTAATATTCCTGCCCCATTGGATCTGCTGATAAATCTCAACTCTGACGTCAAAGTCTTCACTTATATTCATGATCCAAGTCTGTGAATCAGAGCCGCTGTGATCAGAATAACAACAAGGCTGGCTCCCTGCTCCACAGCCCCATCCACACCCGCAGGCACGAGGGGGTGCGCGCACCCATGCCTGCACCCATGCCCCCACCCCATGCTTGCACCCGCCCCGCCGCTCATTCATGAGCTCTCCCACCCCCCCCTCACCCCAATGCACCTCCCCAAGGTCGGGGCCCCCCGCACCTGCGTTTTGCGGATGCGGTTTGGGTGCCAGCCAGGCAGAGGCGAGGTTTATTTTTACCGCTTGTGCCGAGGGACGCGGGGATCTGAAGGGGAAAAAGGGGGGGGGGGGGGGGTATGATCCGGCACGGCGTGGCTCAGCCGACCCGCTCTTCAAGGGCAATGCCCAGGGACAGCGGTGCTGGTCCCCCTGCACCCCCAAGAGCCAGCAGCCAGGGGTGATTGGGGGGTCCTGGGCAGCCAGGCTGGGGTAGATGCATCCCCCCGCGGGGGGGACATGGCACCCCAGAGCCTTCGCCCTGCACTGGCTTCCCTCCAGCCGGCGTAAATGCTGGGGTGAGGAGGATCAACCCCTGGGAGCTTCACCTGGGCTGCCCAGACCAGCACCCACCCTCCTGTATGGGGGGGGGCCTGCCCGAGGACAGTGGGTGCGGGGGGGGTCTGTCCCCCTCCCTGCACCGCAGCAGCCCCCCCCCCCCACCCCCCCCCCCACCCCCAAGGCTTTCTTCCTGACTCTTTGGGAAAGCATCAGCCTGGAAAGGAACAAATCCCAAAGACACGATTAATTTTTCCGGACACAAATGGCTCCATGATTCAGCTCAGGAACAGGATCTTCAAAGCAGGGATGCTCAGCTCCCAGATCCGCAATATTTCAGCTACACCTTCCCCCCCCCCCCCCCCCCCCCCCCTTTCCTACTGGTTTCATAACACTCCAGCTTTACTCTTTCATCCCCCTCTCTCTTCCAGGCTGTAGCTATGCAGTGCAGCGAGCTCGATGCCAGGGAGGATTTCCAGCTCCTGATGCGCAAAGATATTTAGGTGAATATCGGTGGTTTTGGCGGAACCCAATCGTCCCAGTTAGGAGCATCTGGGTTCTTAATGAGGATGAGCCCCGTCCCAGGGGACTGGAATCGTCATCTACCTGGGGCCGCCGGCCGCGTGACTGAGCGCCGTTGTGTGCCGAGTGACATGAGCAGCATGAAAAGGGGCGGAGGGAATCTGAGCGAAGAGCTGAATGAATTCGCTCCCGCTCCCAGTAATTACGCACCGCCCGGGGAAAGGGGGAGGCGGGTGAGGAGCTTTGAGTGATTCCCATCGGCAGCTGCCTCTGCCGGGAGGTGGGTGCCGGCGACGGGCCGGGTCGAGGTGTTGGGGCAGGGGGGCTGCGATGGCCGTGTGAGGTGCTCTGCGGGGACACAGCCCACCCAGGGCCCCCAGGCTGAGCTGAGCGCGGGCGGCCTCAGCCCAGCCAGGCTGCCGAAGCCGAGGCCACGAGCCGAGGGGCTGCCGAATCCCCCACCCAGCAGAGGGGAAGCTGCTGCAGCTCCGGGTCCAGCCAGCCGTGAGGTTGGGCAGGGACGGGCACACGCAGCTCCGGTAAGTACCCTCAGACACCCAGTTGCCCCAGTCCAGCCCTTGGATCCTCTCACCCGGAGCCGCCTCTCGCGCAGACGCCCACACCCCAACGGCTCTCAGCCGACCCCAAACCTCGGGGTCTCGCCGGTGGTTGGCCTGGACCTCCCGCTCCCCCCAGCATCCCACCCCCCCGCAGCCTCACTCGCCCAGACCCCCACATCTCTCAGTTGATCCCCAGAGCACACGGTGGCCCAGGTAGTCCCAAACCACCCCGCTGCTTCCCTTCCCCACCTTCAGTTCCTCCCCTCCACATCCTACCATGAGGCCGGCACAATCCCAAGATGTTTTTCCCACGTCCCGCAGCGAGCAGCAGACCCTGCAGGTATTATCCCCCCTCCGCTCAAGAAGTGCCCCTTTTCCATGCACTCACCTCAACGGGCTCCTCACCCAGAAATCGGGGCTGCTTGCCCTCCAACCCAGGGTGGGGAGCGGCTCCACATCTCCCATCAAGCTTTTTGGGGGTTTCACCACCTGGCTGTGCCACCCCCCCCTCTCCGTGTGTGAGGCTGGCGGCACACTGGGAAGCACTGGCGGAAAAACTGACGCTTTTCCTCTTTTTTTTTTGGAGGTTTTAGGGTGCCCCTAGACCCTGGCAGTGGTGCTGGTGCCTGCGCGGGGCTGCCAGGATTTGGCAGCTGCACAAGAGCTGCCACGTCTGTCTGTCTGTCTGTCTGAAAAGGGAAATTGTCTGTGCCGGGGCTGCTGGGGCACCCCAGGAGTGTTGTAGTTTCCTTAAGGCACCGGTGACAAAAAATGACGTTATCTGGCCATTTTTAAAGCGAGGCACGCCGCCTCCAGAGCTGCCCCGAATGGGAGCGGCGTTGAACCTGTGCATCAGACCTGCAGTATTTGAGCATCTGCCTTTTATAGTTGTGTATGATGTTCTGAGCTCCCTGGGCGTCTGCAAGAACATTTTGTCAATACGTTAAGTATGCTTTATCTATATTCAAATTACAGACTTCATAGCAAGGAGTACAAAGCAAAGCTAATCAAGGACACCAGCAAAAGCCTGACGCTTTAATTACGCAGTGAGAGGCCACCAGCCTCACCTGGGAATGCCGTTCAGCAAGGAGAACGTTTTCCCTTGTCATTTCCCACCTTCACTTCTCATCTTCCTCCTCGGCTTTTGGCATCTGGGAGGGAGCTCAGTGCTAAACCCCACTCATGGTCCTCGCCCAGCACTGCTCCGCTGGGACGTGGGGTGCTACCAACCCACAGCAGGGCTTGACCTGGGTCTCATCCTGCCGCAGAAATTCTGGTTTTTTGGTTAAAACCCAAGGCAACGTGGCTGCCTGAAAGGCAGGCGAAGAACTTGGGAGCCGCTGAATCTCTATCCCCATCTCTGACTCGCTTCACTGCAGCTATTTCTATAGCCAGGTCCTCGTGGTGATTAGGTGGGAGCTAACGAACGCCTGGGTGGGTTCCGGGGTGGCAATCACTAATGACCTGGCTATCCAAGGCAGAGCCCACCAGTAACAAACATCTGCGTAAGGGCTGACGCTTAACAGACATAACGGGTGGTACACAGCTCACCAAGAGGAATAACGCCGCCGCCAATAATCTGCAAAAGCCGACGGGCTGGCAGCACTTTCACCGCTGCGTGTTGGTTTCGCAAACAGCGACCGAAATGCCCTGGACCTCCCCCACCCACCATGGGCTGTACTAAAACCACGCCTGCGACACGCTCGATAAAATACATCCCATGTAACTCCCCATCGTTTTTGGTTCGTCTCTAAAAAGCATTAAAATCGGCTTTATTCCTTTTCCGCGGGGAAACATCACGACCTCCCTGCATCTCATGAGCTTTTCCCACCCTAGCTCCCACTCCTGCCAGAGCATCCCGCAGCCGAGCCGGCGAACCCACGAGCGCATTGCCTTGAAACCCCCCAAACCGAGCGTGGAAATTCACCCCTGTATTTATAGCGGCATCTTTTCCGCAGCGAGCGGACACAGACTTATTTCAGCGCCTCTGTTGTTCCCTATTACTCCAGCGGTGCTTGAAGAGCTATAAGAAGGAAAAGCGCGGCTATAATTAGCAGTGCTGACTAATCAGGGTGGCAAACAAGCACGCTGCGCCCGCCAGCCTCTTCAAAACGGGGCCGTCAGGGGCCGCGCGCTGCTGGAGAGTGCGTGAAGTCCTACATTCAAAGGCTTTGCATCATCTTTGCAGCTACGGGGTGGAAATTAGGCCGTTTTGTCATCGCTGCTGCTGCTGGAGAGCGGGAACCTCTCCCGGCACCGCATCGGCTGCGGGGCTCCAACCTCCCAGCCCGGCAGGAGGAAGGACCAGGACCCAGGGATGGGGTTGGGGGGGGGGGGTTGAGGTGCTGATGTCAAACCAGTGGGGAAGGTGGAGGCAGGCAGGCAGGAGTCTGGCTTATAAAATTATCTGGCTTTGTTGAAAAACAGTTGATTTGGCTAAAAAAAAATCTCTCTCACATAGCTGGAGTGGACCTGTTGGAGGGCCTGGCGTGCAGAAGCGATCCCTGCCATCCTGCCCGCAGCAGCACCGTTCCAACCCTACTTTCACCTCTTGCAGAGCTACGGGTGGACGGTTGGTTTTTGCAGCACCCAGGTCCCAGCCTGCCCTGCTCTGCGGAGATGTGCAAGACCTTCCCACACCAAAATGAGATATATTGGGGTTGTCTGGGGTGGGGACACTGCGTCTCATTGCACCGTTGCAATGGCACATCCAGCTGCTGCGAGGGCTCCCCCATTTAGCAGCAGCCTCGGAGGGGTGCAGGCACCAAGGGGACACGGGATGGTTCAAGGGAAGAGACCCTGAGGGCGCTGCACCCCAAAATCTTTGCGTCGGCAGGTTTGGCCCGGGTGGTTTTTAGGGTTCTTATCGTGGGGGTCGGGCTCAGCCACGCTCTGGCCGCAGGTTTGGGCTCCCAGGGCCAGCTCTGCTCAAGGACAGCCTGCATCCCCACATCCCACTGGCACCTGCATGGGGACAGGACCCCACCGGTGCCTGCACGGGGACAGGGCCAAAATCAGGGCCCCCCCCAGGGCAGGTGAGCGGCGGCGATGCCAACCAGTGCCGGGAGGAAAGGAGCAGCCCTGCATGGTTAGGTGCTCGCTCTGACTTCTCCTCCCGATTCCCACCAAGCACTCAGGCTAAAGCAGGGGGAGGATTTTTCCTCTCTCCTCCAGTGGTATCATTCCCACCCGACTGTTTTTGCTCCTTCAGCTCCGCCGCTCGCCTGAGCCAGCGGAACACGTCTCGAAGCACCTTTGCTGGCACGCACCGCGTCGCCATATGTCAGCTCAGCTCTGCTGAGCAGGGTTTCTGGGGCAAGGTTCTTTTTTTTTTCTGAAATAAAGGGCTTTTGTAGTGTGTTTTCTTCCTTCTCCCAGGCTGCATTTGCCGCTCTGGCTTGCTGCCTCAGCAGCAGCAACTGTGTTTCCCCTATGCCGCCGTTCATCAAGCCACAGGGAACACTGGGAGCGTGCAGGATGCAAGGCAAAAAATATTAGGGCAGACGATTGTGATAATTAATAATTAACAAGAACCTAATTTACCTGACGCGGCACAGAGGTAAAGAAGTTTTTCTGTGGTTTTGAAAGGGGCAAAATAAGAAAAATTCTTGACAAAAATAAACCTGGAGTCTTTTTGCAGCTGAGGGCAGGGCGGCCTTCTCTCCCTGCTGGTCTCCTCGCCACCCGCTGCCACCAACGTGAGCTTTTTAAAGCCAAGCTTGGAGCGAGCTGCTCCGGAGGAGCTCGTTTGCTGCACCCACACTGGGACCACCCCAACACTCGAACCCCAGCAAAGACCCAGGTCTGAGGACCAGGAAGGTCCCAGGTCGGTGCAGAAAAAGCCACCGGCTGCCCCAGAGCCGGCGGTGCATCAACACCAAACGCGACCTGCAGCCACGGCGTGCAGGCGGGGATGGATTTGTTGCTCTACTGCCAGAGCTAAACCCCCCCGTGCTGATCCCTCCTGACATACTGGCACGGGGGGATGTTAGGCAGCCTGCCCAGCGGGGAAAAGCCCCCCATGGCAGAACTCAAAGGATCTCCGGACTCCCCAGTTCCTTCCCCGCTGGGCAGGAAGGACGTTGGGTTTCATAAAACCCGGGGAACAAGTTCTCAGCTTTGAAGTTGAGCAAAAGGCAGCTCTGACACCCCCTCGCCCAAGCACAGCCGGTCTATTTATTGATTTTAACTCTGGCTTCTGACATTTAAACAGGATCCTACGTGGAGTCACGGCGCCGGGCTCCCCTCAGAGCATCTCCCGAGCTCCCTGGAATTAGGCTGGGGACCATATCGCCTGGATCCAGAGCCCTGGCCTGAAACATGGGGTGGGCTAGGACTTCGTCAGGAAAAGGTCCCAGCTGCTTGCTGGTAAGTGAAATAATCCATACAAAGCAAGAGCTTGGCTCAGAAAAAAATCAGCTTGAGTTAGGGAGAGTTATAATGGGGTAAAGTTATATGGACTTGCACGAGATGCTGCCTCCCCCTGCCCTCCTCCTGCCCGCATGCCTGAGCCGGAGCCCTGCCCATCTCAGCAGGATGGGGCCCAAAAGGAGCTAAAAATGCCCAGCTGCCCCTAAAATTTTTAGTAACAGAGACAACACAGAAAAGGCAGATTTCAGCCCCCTGCCTCTGGTGGGCTCCGTTGCTCCTCCAACTCAGGCCACGGGCGTGGAGTCCTCGCCTCATCGGTCATCCAGGAGCTGCTGTTTCTGCCTCCAAATATTTCAGTAGGAGGGCGAAGGCTCCCTGACTTTCCCCGGGCGGGGGGTGGCATCCGCAGGCAGCATCACTGCAGGCCACAGCCGCTGTGGGCACCGGGCTTGCCGGCAACCTGGGTCTCATCTCAACCTTCAGCCTGAGCCGTACGCACCTGGATTTTGGGGGTACAGAGGTATTTTTCCCCCTCTGGGCATCGCATTTTCTTCCCCAGCAGCACTGCCCAGAGCTGTGCCTCGATAAGGTGGAATCTTACCAGGGTAAAAGAGACATTTTCAGGAGCACAAACACCCAGCTGGAGCAGAATGCTGCTAAATACACTGGGAATCTGCCTTCTCCATCCTCCAGGCTGGAGGTTAAATCTGAAAAGTCCTCTATTCCCAAAGGATTTCTCTGTGCCCTGGGGACTTTACCCCAGAGCTGTGCTGTGCTTCTTCCCGCGGCGATGCTGGAGGTCGCTTGGCTGAGAAACATCATCCCCCCCCTGAGATTCCCATGGCTGAATTTATGGCAGAAAGGTGCTTGGTAGAGGGAGTGAGAAAGTAGAAAACTAGCGCTGGGGAAAGACCCTCCAAATACTTTAAACCTGCCAAATTTGAAGGGGTTGGCGGAGGTCTTGGTGGGAGTTTTGGGGAGTAGCTGCGTTGGTATGTGCAAAAACAATTCACGGCACGGACAGGAACACAGCTCGCGGCACGGAGAGAAGCAGGGCACATGGCAGAGGTCATGCCTGGCCCCGGGGACGCATCACCCCACAACTGAGGTCTCCCACCCCGCAGATCCTGCCTCCCACCACCGGCACAGAGCCACGGGGGATTTACACTTCGCAGCGCAGAGACTGTTTGCATCTGCTCTGCCTTTATTTACCACCTGGGAGTCCCCAAGCAGGGGACAGACGGCGGGGATGAGACACAGGACTGCACCTTTGCATCCGGTTTTGAGCTG